CCCCCCCCGGGCCCAGCCCCGGCAACGTACAAGACACAAGAGAGCGAGCAGCGGCCGGGCGGCGGCTTTTAAGGCTTTGGAATGTACCATCGTGTGAGGCAGGGGAGACTCTTCGAGGGCCTTCTCCAATACGCCTCGCGGCCGTGGAACGGACCATTCGATCGCAGGACGGGGGGGGAGGGGTGAGGCAGTGAGTTCTCTTTGCGTCTGCCACCGCAAAGGGCCAGCACCCAGCGCTGTGCAGCACTTTACAGACCAGCAAGATGGTTCATTCGGGGATGAGCTTTCGTGGGCCAGACCCACTTCCTCAGATCAAACAGGGGAAGGAAATTGTCACCACCATAAATACCAAAGGAGACAGTTAAAAAATGAACTCACATGAAAACGTGGCCAATCTAGAAAATCTGGAAAATGCCAATCTAGACGCAGTCCGTGAGCGTTCTTGTGCGAGTAAATTTACAGTATAGCGTTGTAAAACAGGGCTTCTTCTGGAAGAGTAAGAGAAATGTAGCCGTGTTAGTCTGGGGTAGCTGAAGCAAAATGCAGGACTATGCAGCACTTTAAAGACTAACTAGATGGTTTATTAGGTGATGAGCTTTCGTGGGCCAGACCCACTTCCTCAGATCAAACAGGGGAAGGAAATTGTCACCACCATAAATACCAAAGGAGACAGTTAAAAAATGAACTCACATGAAAACGTGGCCAATCTAGAAAATCTGGAAAATGCCAATCTAGACGCAGTCCGTGAGCGTTCTTGTGCGAGTAAATTTACAGTATAGCGTTGTAAAACAGGGCTTCTTCTGGAAGAGTAAGAGAAATGTAGCCGTGTTAGTCTGGGGTAGCTGAAGCAAAATGCAGGACTATGCAGCACTTTAAAGACTAACTAGATGGTTTATTAGGTGATGAGCTTTCGTGGGCCAGACCCACTTCCTCAGATCAAATAGTGGAAGAAAATAGTCACAACCATATATACCAAAGGATATAATTAAAAAGGAAGAGTTATTCCTCTCACCCCACGAGGAATAAGCCCTCTTGCGCAAGAGCTCTTCCACAAGAGGGCTGTATAGACAGGCAACAAGAATTTCTTCTGCAAGAAGCCCCTATGGCTAAAATGGCCATCAGAGCTTCCTTGCGCAAGACTGTGTCCACACTGCCATGGATCTCTTGCTCAAAAGGACATGGCAGTGTAGATCCTCTCTTGTGGAAGAGTTTTTTTTGCACAAGAACTCTTCTGCAAAAGAGTTCCTGCGCAAGAAGCTGCCAGTGTAGACGTAGCCTAACAGTAGAGAAATTTGATAGCTCGCCTTTTTACATTAAAGCCAGACACTTGTGATGTCTGCTATTCAGCATGCTATCAAAGAGTCCTTCATTATAAACTTTGATTTGAACATATTTGCCGAGGCTGTGGAACTAGCTTCTTAACCACTGAGAGAAATTCCTCAAGAAGCGAGTCCACTTGGTGTCAGTGAGATTTTAAATTCAGTTTGCTTTTGCTGGTATTGGCCTGAATAGTACGGAGTGTTTCAATAAAATTGGTAAAGAGATTTTGCAAGAAGCTGGACCTTGTTACAAGCAGTATACAAACCACCATGACGATAGATCAGTTAACTTCAGCATATGCTTCTGCCTTCATACATTCCAGCTTGTAGAGACAGTAGCAATCAAAGAAGGGACTGCTGCACTCCAGGGAAGGGGAAAAATTGGGCCCAGATAGAGCCACCAACCCTCCCCTCCCCCACAGCATCCCATGGGCCTAGAACGGAGGGGGGCACTAAAACCCAGGTGGCTGCCAAAATCAGTATGAGCCAGGGAAGAAAACTGCAGAGGAACCAGTCACAAACACTAGGGGCTACGTCTACGCTGGCATGTTCTCACGCAAAAACTCTTTTTGCGGAAGAGTTCTTGTGCAAAAAAAAACTCTTCCAGAAGAGAGCGTCTACACTGGCATGTGCTTTTGCACAAGAGCATCCGTGCCAGTGTAGATGCTCTCTTGCACAAGAAAGCGCTGATAGCCATTTTAACCCTAGGCCTTTCTTGTGCAAGAAATTCATGTTGCCTGTCTGCACTGGCCTCTTGTGGAAGAGCTCTTGTGCAAGAAGGCTTACTCCTGAGCAGGAGCGTCAGAGTTGTCACACAAGAAGTCCTGATTTTATACATTAGAGCGTCAGTTTGCTTGTGCAAGAACATGCGGCCTGTGTAGACAGGCAGCAAGTTTTGTTTTTTTGCGCAAGAGCAGCCACTTTTGCACAAGATCGTGCCAGTGTAGACACAGCCAAATCAGGGACTGCTGCACTGAGGGGGAGGAGATAAAATGGAACCAGCTGGGGTCACCCCACTCCTCTTCCTTTCTTGTGGGCTTAGAAGAAAACAGAAAAGGAGGCAGCCAGAGCCTCTTGAGTCTAGTTGGTAGGAACAGAAGTAACCTAAGTACAGAGATAGGGAACTTCCTGCATTTCTGATTGGTCTTTCTCTGCTCTGTGCTGATTGACTGACAATATAACCCCTCACATTCTCTTTGCCTTACTTTGGCTCCACCAAGGACCCCTCACACTTTCTTCCCTTTTCCTTAGGAGACAGATTTCCCTCCTAAGTAACACATTTGCTGACATCTCATTGTTCACTGTGCTGCTATGTACTATACTGCTGGATGGTCCTAATGCATAAAAACACAAATAACAACCTAGGGGGTCACTGCAGGACTTCAAACTACTTGCAGCACTCACTTCAGTGGCACTGGAATGAGCAGTGCTGGGAGTGCTACCACGCCCCTCCCTTGAAGTGGTAATAACACACCAAATACATGGCTTTTATAATTGGCACCCCTCCATAATATTTGTTCTGGTACCCCAACTCAGTTCCAAGGTTGTCATAGCCAGGGGTGGTAGTGGGGATAAGCTCCCACTGTCTATAAAGTACCCCTATACGGTGTGCGTCTCCAATAGCCTCTGACAACCAAGTCCAGCTCCTGGCCTTCACGTGCGGTTTAGCTTGTAAACCCGGCGGAACTGTTTTAACTGACAGGAGAAGGGGCGCGGGCGGGTCACTGGCGCCTTATAACCAGTTGCTTCGGGGAGATGATACTCGTCAGCCTAGGAAGGCAG